GTTCCTATGTCAGCGTGCGGGTCTTGTTCCAATGCGTCCCAGTCCATTCGCTCGGCTCTCCTCTCCCTGCCTCTCCCTCCTCTCCTCTCCCCTCCCTACCTCTACTTAGCACAGCCCTCGACTCTACAGCGAATCGTCCATAATGCGGTTCTCAGCTTGCAGTTCACATTTCACGATGTATCTCGCCTCACAGTGCAGTGCAACATCCCACCAAATCAAAAACCCGCCGGCCGTGCAGCGCAGTTAACTTCGCCCCAATCTCTGACTCTTCTTTCTTCTTTCTTCCTTCCTTTTTCGGAGCGTATGGGAGTTTGGGAATTTTTGGGGCGTTTGTGAACACTCCGCGATTTATTTATGCTTTGCGAACGGCTCTGATCAAATCGCATCGAGTTCTCGGCATCGGCATCGATTTGCTCTACCCCCCTCCCCGCTGGCACGGCCGCTGAACGGCATTTACTCCCTCTTCCTTCTCTTCACCCACTGTGCTTGGGTTCTACCGTCGCCTCTCGAGTCTCCGCGACCCTCACATTCTTTTGCCGACATATTTGGGCAAGAACTGGGAGGCTAGGCGGGGCGTGGTTTCCCCCGGAATCGGATAATCTGCAGCATAAATCTCGACTCCGAGTCGCTTCGATGAAGGAGAAAAGTGATACCATCCGGAATGGAGTTGAAGATCCTCGTAATCGCTCCCCGTCCTTCTTCTTGTCGGCTCGCCGGCCATGATTACCGGTCACTCTCCCCTTCTTGCCTTGCCTTCACTTTTCGCTCTTCAATCAGCCGTTCAACCAGTGCTGCTCGCTGGCTCACTCGCTCGTTTGTGCATTGTCCGCTCCCATTGACACCTCACCTTTTGCCTCCAGGTCTCTAGACTCTGGCCTCCCGCAGTCATATCCCCCGGTCGTAGATGCATGTCGACGCGTAGATGGTTTCTCATTAACACGCAACACGTTGTTCCCTCCAATCGAACCGAACTGCACAAATGCACAAATGCACAATTCTTTCTTCCTTCCGAATTCCTTCAAATTGCCCGCCCGCCGCCCTCGACACTTGGCCACCGCCCTCGCCTCTCCGCTTCGCTGGATACCGTCTTCGCTCCTCCCTCCTCCACCTCGCCTTCCCTTATCCTTGACTAACCGATACAACACAGTACTTGCGTCGTCTCTCTGTCGCTTTCGCTTTCGCTGCATCCAGAATCCGGATTCCAGTCTGCTCGGTCGGTGTTCACTCTCTCTTGCCATGCTGGAAATACATGTACAGGTCAAGGAAATGCGGGCGTATCGTGGCACACATAAATGAGGATCCGACTCGCGTACCGCATGTCGTTGTCAACATCTAAGAGTTCGATAATTAAAATTTTCAAGATTCTACTACTCTCCTTTCAACCATCCCATATTTCATCGACCTCACACAAGCTCGCAGTTCAACCTGGTCGGATCTGGAGTGAAATGCAGGCAGCTCCAACACGTGGCGTGGTTCTACCTTCAATTAGGAACTGCAGCAGTTGCCGGTTGAACGTTCTTGTACTCGAGCACATGTGTCACGTGGTACAAGCCCTTTTTTGCGGGCTTGTACCACGTGACTCGCTTTCTTTTCTTTTCTTTTATGGGCGTTGCTCAAGGCGGTGGTCGTGGGCTTTTTGCGGAGTGTTACTTTCTGCGCTACATTTTCGCCGCAATGCCTTTTATACCCGCGTCCCTCCATCCAATCGACCAAGTCTCATATTATTATCACTATTATTATTATCAGGCACCGGGCCTCTTGAACTCGCGACCCAAAATTACCCCACAACACCGGATCACTAATCCAATCTCCGTTCCCTCCCGAGCCTCTGACCTCACTCTGGCCAACTTCCACTTTGTCCGTGTGCACGAGCGTCGGGGCCTCCGTCGACGTCGTCCTCTGTGTCTGGTCTGCTTTCTACGTCTTGCTCAGCAGGTCACCGAGCACACGACCCTCTACTAAGCTCCCCGCACGACGTCTCGTCCCTGCTTTCGGTGCCTGGTCGTGCCGTTGCCTGTCTCACAGTCTTTTGCATTGGGTAACACCGTCGCCACCGACGAAATGAAACCACCCCAACGCCGATCGACCACCCCCGATCCTGTTTGAAGCCGCCCAACCAGCGACGGCCTCGATATCGATTCCTACCGCGACCTGCGTAATTCCTATGCAATTAATGTCGATACTTACAACGCCACGCCCATATCGACTCTATCTTTCTTCTGGATGCACCGCTCCTCTGCTTCTGGATACACCGCCGTTGGTCGCCCCACTCCCACTCGCCGTTCAACGCCCGACTTATATGTATACAAGCCCGGCCGCCCGTGTCCGTGTCGCCCGGTCCTTGGCGCCGTTCGGAATGGCTCGCCTCGCTCGCCTTGCACCTACACACGAACACCCTCGGAATCCAAATCAACACCAGCGGAGGAGTTACACTTGTTGGGCGTCAACTATCCATAGCGCTCCGTTGCTACATACATACGTACGTCTTTTCTTATCCTCTTTTCCTGATTCCATTTTTTCTTCTGTCTCCTCCTCTTCCTTTCCTTTCTTCCTTCCATCACTGCTGCTTTCCGGGCATTCTGAGTTGATCCACACGGCAACCCGCCCACGCAGCCACGAAGCTCCTTCCTCGCAAACCCGCTCGCTCTCCCTTTCCATTGCCCAATCCCAATCCCAACTCCTCCTCGACTCTGAATCCCATCCCATCCCATCTTCAACTCCCTCTCTCTCTAAATTCTTCAACCCCGTCTCTAAATACTGCGACGCAACCCCGTTTCTGAATACGCTGCGACCCCGTCTCTAAATCCTGCGACGCGACCACCACCTCCCAGCCCAAGCAAGCCAAGTTCGTTTGTCCGATGCCCAATGCCCATCCCTCCATTCCATTCCACGAGGACGTTCGCACCTAGATGTTCAAGCCGACGTTCACCCCTAAATGTTCAATCCAACATTCACCCCTAAATATGCACGCACGCACCCGCTGCAATGTCTGTCTCCCTTCCCTCTTTCCTTCAAGTGCACGTCAAGTGCACGTGCGAGTGCGAGTGCAACTGCGAGTGGGAGCGTGAATGCGAGTCTGACCGGTACCCACGCATCTGCGCCATCTCGCTTGCACCTACACTGCACGACTCGTAGCTTTCGTTCGCCCACCTCAACCGTTCCGCCCGTCTCTGGCTAGTGGTTTAAGTTAGTGGTGCGACTCTGCTTTGATCTCTCAAACTTGGTCTTGGCGGCTTGAGTCTCAACTTGGCTTTGGCGGCTTGAGTCTCCAGTCACACTGAGTCAAGGGAGTCTACACATCCATCTACCCACGCTCGCCCGTCCATTGGTCAGTTCGGATGCGGTTACTCAGACTCGCATCACCATTCACCGTTACATAAAAGACTTCAAATCCCAAACTCAAAGACGCTGTCCCGCATCGACATCGCCTTGGTACGATTTGCGATTTGTGGATCTTTGCATTCGTGCGTCTCGACGTCCGTCAGTTGGATACTTGGGATGGGTTTCCCTCTCAGTCCCTTCCCTCTCCGTTTTCATTCGATATGATCTCCCTCGCGTCTCCCTCGCGAGGCGTATGTAGCGACTCTTGATGGTTCCCTCGTCCACGCCACCATTCATCATTCGATCGAGGCCCATCTCTCTTCAACCACATTCATTGACACCCCTTAGACTAACTTGCTCGCTCCCTCACTATGCGCACAGCCGTCCGATGCCTTGCATGTAAATACCTCCCACTTTCCTTCTGGATTCGCGTACGGCCGCGGATTCTCGACTCGCGCCTGACCCAATTGAAGAAAAGCAGCGTACATCTGTGTCTCCCATCTGGGGGCGCACTGGTGCTGATATATTTCGCATCCCTCGGCGCCTCTCAATGCAGTGTCATTGCAGCCCCCTAACACTGTGACGGCGTGCCGCACGCCGTCACAGTGTTAAATCACGGTGTTAACCGTTTGACCTCGATAGACATTCGGTCGCGGACGTCGTCCCCCTCCCCACCGCGCCCGCTCGCCCCTCCTGGCGCTCTGACCATGCTTGACTCTCCGGTCTGCTCCCAACCTAAACTTACAACGATAACGCATTCGGCATGCGTGCACAGTCGAGGTCAAAGGAATGCGTGTACACGTCGAGACCGCACTTTTCATTCGAGAAAAATTTCAACATTCTTTGCAGGTCCTGCCCTACACGGGGCTCACAATTTAACGCTCAACCCCCCGCTCGTTCGTCTGCGAGGGCGGGCGGGTCGGGCGGTCCAACGGTCCGACTTCAAACAATCCGAAGGAACAGCGAAATGAACAAGCAACATTCACCCGGTTGAGACGCGCCATGGACGACCCGAGTCGGAATCAGGTTGAACGGAGGCAGATGCTGTATGTGGCGCGAGCTTAACATACTTACACCAAGTTCCAATCCAGTCTCCCAAGTCTTCTCGGAACCAGCACCGCAGGCAATAAATGGATTATGCCTGCCGTTCCCCTGTCCCTACGCGTTCGCATGACCGCGACCTCTCCGTCCCGCGCGTCTGACAATCTCAACATTTCCCCTCGCTCATTGAATCCGTCCCCCGACCACCTACCTGTCCTGTCCTGTATTGGGGATATCGATGTATTCTAGCATCCAAGGAAATTTAATTTTATACATATATCATGGCACACAAGTTCGGCGTACTTAAATCAGCTTGAAGCAGGGGGAAGCCAAGTGCTAATGCTGCCTCTGAATCGTCATTGCGTTGATAGAAAGACCTAGTTTTTATTGCGTCGTCCAAAGCCAAGATCGGCGAGTAAAACGAGGGCCATGCGTTGGCCATGAGAGGAGTCCAGGGCAATATTCTGCACAAATTCCGCCGCAGCGACAGGCGCCTTAGCGTGAGGGCGGTGAAGCGGGAAGAGACGAAAGTGAGATGTGATGCCATCACGTTGAACTCGAATCTGATGTTCAACTCCGATTCGATTCTGTGCGCACCAGAATTGGGGTATATTTCTCCACAGGATCCATACATTATCGGCCTGATAGCACAGTTGGAAGTGCTTCTGCTCTGCTTAACTTGAACTGTCTCTAAATCAGCAGAAGATCCCCGTTCGATTCGGGGTCAGGTCATTTCAGCATCCCAATTTCTTTCTTTTGTTTTTTCGAGAAAAAAAACCACTTGTTTGATGCAATATTCATATACAGGCTGGCCACGATACTCGAAGTGTTTCCTCTGGAGTCTCCCGAGATAATACAACACGCGTTACGAGGGAGGGTGATTTTATGAAGTAACGGTAACGGTAAGTAATGCTCTGTGTAGAATTGATAGAAGTTCTGACGATTCGCATCAATCAGGAGGTCCTGAATCGTTTGCGAGGTCAGGTCGTTGTCAAGCTATGGCGCCGAGCTTTTCTTTCCTTCTTCGACAGTACCTCCCCCAACAGAGCAGCACCCCGCGAGGCTTGATACCCATTCCTCATGAAACAACAACATGCCCTGCCAGCCAGGTTCGGTTGAAATTGTGCTCATTATCGATACTCAAACTGCAAATTTAACTGAAAATCGAAGGGCCCAATGTTCATTTGCGTTTCTTCTTCCGCAAGATCCAACTCCAGTTCGATTTACATTTTGTGTTCACAAGAGTTGTGGTATAACTCTGCCCAGAGTCTGTGCTACTGTTGGCCTGATAGTACAGTTGGAAGTGCGTCTGCTTCACTTGGACCATGGATTATCAACAATCTCAGCAGAAGATCCCCGTTCGATCCGGGGTCAGGCCGTGTCCAACCTTCCTTGAAGTTTTTTCTCTCTCTTTCCTTTCTTCTTCTCTCTCCAAAAAAAAAAAGAAAATACCCCTTCTCTGCAATATTGATATACAGGCTGGCGCTCGAAGTGCTTCCTTTGGAGTCTCCCGAAGCAATACAACACGCGTTACGAGCGGAGTAGACTTTCTGGCGATTCAGAATAAGCAGGACATCCGAGTCGATTTCGAGGTCAGGACAGGTCGTTGGCAAGCTGTGGCCCTTTCTTCCTGTTTTCTTTCTCGCCGGTACCTCCCTGTGAACAGACCAGCACCCCGCGAGGCTTGATACACATTTTTTGTGAAGCAAGAGCATGCGCTGCCAGCTAGGTTTGGTTTCGGATCTCATGCTACCGATGCTCAAACTTCAATCTGCCGAAAATCGAAAATCGAAGGGCTTCTTCATATGCATTTATTCCTCTGCAAAACAGCGTATTATCGACCTGATAGCACAATTGGAAGTGCGTCTGTTTCGCTTAGTTCGCCTTGATCAATGATTTAGGCAGAAGATCCTCGTTCGATTCGGGGTCAGGTCGTGCGCTATCCGCTGCAAAGTCTTTCCCCCTCCCTTCCACTGGGGATCTCTCTTTTGTTCCATGAATCAAATTCCAATTTATTATTCAATTCGCCTCGCTTCCAAATCCCTTCTGTCCATGAAGCGATAGCCATACATCAACGCATGCGATACCTCCATAACTTAAATTTTGGTTCAATCACTGACCCACGGTACGGATCTTTCATGTGTCGATGGGATGGAGCATGCAGATACAATGAAATATGAATGCCTACTTGCCCCGACTCCGAGCCGTTCTTTTTTTAGTCGCTCTCTCGTGCCAAGAGGTTCACTCGCCCTGTCTACACTACTGATGTCCAAGGGCTGGCTTCCACTGTTCCCGCTAAATGGATGTGCTGGAACTTCATCGTTTGGTGTGGAGTACACAACGGCTTGCGGGACTCCTAATTTCCTCGGTGAAAAAGATACAACGTGTTGGATGTTTGACGTCAATGTCGGGCGGACGTCACTATCATCGGCACAGATCTAGATATCGATCTTTCGACAGACGGATGAGAAACCTACAAACCGAATCATAAGGGCAAAGCTCGGCGAGGGGAGGTAACTGGACTGCATCTTCGGTATCTCTGCGCGCGGCACGGCACAATTACATTGCAGTCTCCGCTCCGAGCGTCCATCCAGTTTCCTTCATCGAATAATCATCACGTGACCGCGAAGTTGAAAATTTGAACGAGTGGCAGTTATTCGAGAATACGCACACATTATGCCACCAAACACCACATTCCATACAGTTGGAGATTCAATGAAGTTTTTAGTGAGGCCAGTGCATTGATTGACGCGGAGAAAAGAGGATCAAAGTGATATTGACTCGTATGAGTTTCCAGCCTGCTACTAAGACTGTCAGTGACATACGGTGCGAGGATTGGCGAGCAAGCATACGGCGAAAGGTTAGAGGAGTGCGTCTGGTGTTTCTTACTCAATTCGGGGACAAGATGGGCAAGACAGGAGACAAGAGAGAGACCAGGCACAGGAAAGTCGAGCACGGAAGAAGGGAGATGTCGCCGACTCGCATGAAACATTCAGATAAGCTGGTTTCCAGAGGCGCAATAAGACATTTGCAGAGGGTGGATGCGTTCGCAAGAACTGTGGCCGGGAGGTTTGTGACGGTGGCTGCAGAGTTGCGGCCGAGATGAAAAACGGCGCGACACGGCCTTAAGTCAAGTCGTCATGAGTTACGCATCTGTCAGACCGTCGCAGACATGTTTGCACGCATTTCGCCAACAGTCTTCCTCCATCCATGTTCATCTTCGAAAACTGAGCGTCGGAAAAGAGAAGTTTGACGCGAATTATGCCAACTCACCAAGCTCTCTAATGTCGGCGGGAAGTGCCGGGGCACTATTTCATAGCAAGATAAACGAGGCAATTGCAACGCAGAGGACAGCCCGTAAAGGGGTCGGTGGTTTCCTGTTGGGAAGACTGAGGAAGAAGACAAATTTTGCATGTATACCCAAACTCACGTTGTTTAACATCTTGTCATACTCCGTCCCCAACTGCATTTGCAAGTTTTTCGTGTAATGGGGGACCTGGCTCGATACAGCGGTCACGATTCGCCTATATTAGCAGCGGTCGAGATAAATATTCTAAGAAATAGACTCAGAGGTGGTCGACGGTTTCGTCGGTGAGAGATTCCAGTCGGACAGGATTCAAACTGTCTGTGTCCAACTGGGCAATGAACCAACTGGGCAATGAAGCCAGCAGGTCCACGGGGCTGTGACGTCGACATTTTGTAAGCAGAATCCACACGGATGCGCGTCACTGAAGAAGTGGAGCAACGGAATGAAAAACAGCACTGAGAGTATCAGCGAGTGAACGAGCAAGGGAGAAAGAGAAAAAGCTAGCATAGAGAATGGGTTCGACATCGGCGGCGGAGGGAGACGGCAATTAGCCTTAGGTGATAATCGCAATTGGGTTGAATAGACTGGCGTAAGTTCCCGATAGTGCAGTAATACCAGCCGGAACTGATTGTTTATTGCCGAGCCTTCTGAATATCGACGTTTAAGAAACGGAGAAGAATTGAATGATAACGAACGTTGAAGGAGAGTTAAGCAAAAGCAGGAGAAGAAGCCCGTCGAGAGATTATCATTGGCACTGTTATTATTGCCGTTTTGGACACGCTTGCTCCATCGAGGGAAGGGAATATGGGAAGCGCGTCGAGAGAATTAACCGAGACAAGCTCAGACAGACTGAAGCTCCGGCCGTCCGGAAGCATGCTCTGCTGAAAGAGAGAAATGGAAAACATGCTTCAATTGAGAGAGGGGTACATGTAAAACAGACGGACGATGCAATTACTTTTGCTTGAACGACGAGAATCTTGGATCGACAACACACGTGAAACCTTTGCATCAAAAGCGCCCACCAGGAATGGTGCGCACCGACCCGAGCGCGTCCTGGACAACCGCATCCCCAGCCGCACACCAATACTTCTCCTCCCTCCTCTGCGGCAAGCCCCCCTTTCCAAGCCACCGGTCCTCCATGTCACGCCGGTGCTTGCTCTTCGCCTTGCCCTCCGCGATGCGCTTCTTCTCAAAATACACGTACGACGCGTAGCAGACGCGGCTGGTACTCCCGCTCGTCGCGCCTTTCTTCGTGAGGAAGTCGCCGAGCTGCTTGGACTGAATGTTCGGCGCGTCGGTGTAAGCCGCGCGCGACATGTCGCGGAGCAGCTGGGCCTTGGTGATGGTCCCCGTGCGCAAGAGCGCGTTGATCTTGCGCCGCAGCTCGTCGCAAGAGTCGTAGATCTCGACGCTCGCGTCCTCGTCGCCAGTAAGGGTAACGGAGAAAAGGTCTTTCTCGGGGTCCGAGTCGCCTGTGGCGGTTTTCTTAGACTTTTTCGCGCTCTTGGAGGGCCCGGACGCGTCGTCGGCTTTGCGTTTCTTCTGCTGGAGGCATGAGGGTTTGGATTCGCGACGCGTAAGGAAGCGGCTCACATTCAAGTTTGTGGTCGGTGCCAGGACTTTCTGCGCGGATTCTCCCTCGTCCTCCTTCACAAGACGCAATCAGGGTCGCTCGGAGTGTAGGTATGGGCTACTTACTTTGTGGCTGATGGGCATTGTGGAGTAGTGGTGGTTTGGTGGTGGTGGTGTGAAACAGGCCTGTGACAAACGCGTGACTGATGGTGATTTGGCTTTTAAACCGATTCGTGCCGTGTCTGGCTGATGTGGGGATACAGGGAGTATAGAGATGTATAGTAGGTCGATGTCTCTGCCTAGGTTTGGGTGTGGACCAAATCGTTGTGGCCAGGGTCTGTGGGCGGCGCGGAGACCCCCCACAAGCAGAGAGACCAAAGGAAGGAAAGGAAAGGGGAAAAAAAGGAAGAACAGGGAAGGGTGGGTGGGGGTTTTTCTAGCGTGTATATATACGATGGGCGCTATGGACGTAGAGGTACGAGTCTGAGAGGTGATGAGCTGGCACTGTTGTGCCGTGTTTCACATCAGCTTGTGGGCACGAATCCTGTTGCCCTTCACACTCGTTCCTCGTGTTCGATCACACTCCATTCGTGCCGTGTCTGGCTGATGTGGGGATACAGGGAGTATAGAGATGTATAGTAGGTCGATGTCTCTGCCTAGGTTTGGGTGTGGACCAAATCGTTGTGGCCAGGGTCTGTGGGCGGCGCGGAGACCCCCGGACGAAGAAGCCGCAGGCGCGGCGGAGCGAGCGAACGCAGACCCAAGCTGAAAGAAGACTGCGGCTAGAGAGTAAGGAGTTCGACATGAAGCGGGGCGATTCTCTCGAGGGAACGCCAGTAGCGAAGGAACGCGTCGGAAGACCATCGTCCCAATATACGGACAACGTCGGGGGGAACACCTGCGAGTAAAAGCTCAGTCGTACCGCCAATGCGGAAGCAGTGACCCGTGGAGAGTGGCAGGCCAAAGCGGCCCCAAATAGAATTGCACCGGGCCATGAATTTGCGTTTCGTGAGTGCGAGGATGCCGCCGTTTCGCGTGCGATAGGCAAAGAGGGGGTCGTTCCCGGCCAGCGCGTTCATGGCCAAGTGCTTGTCGACCGCAGAGAGGGGGTCCGCGAAGCCGCGCTGTTTCGACATGAATGTGTCCTCGCCCTTGCGGCGTTTGACCTTGGTGTTCGGGAGGTGTAGGAGGCGGGAACCCGCCGATGTGCATGGTGGTTTCAAGTCCGATACGGTGGGGATGAGTTTCGGATCGAACAAACGTTCAGTGGTGGAAAGGATCTCGCCTAGCCTGCACTGACACCAGAAGGCTACGACCGCGCATGCAAAAACGGCGACATCGAACGGGTCGGAGAAATCAAGGTTGTCGTAGAGGAACCAGAGCATGTCGAGGGTGATAGGCGGGCGGGGAGGCAGGGCGTCGGGTGCGAGGTTGTCAATCCCCTTGAGCACGTAGGACAGGCGCAAACTTCCATACCACCTCACGTCGTTTGTGATATGCCAAGCGCGAACACCTGACAATTTGTTGCCGACCGTGCCGCTAGCATGAGTGCGGGCGTGAGAGGATGCAAACGCGCAAAGAAGGAATTCGGACGCCGGGAGCCTGAAAGGGTGTGAAACGTCGTGCTTGTCGCAGAAGGCGTGGAAATGAGCGAGACCGTTGTCGTACTTGTCCAGCGTGCTGGCTGACCACGCGTGCTGGAGGGTTTCTTGCACCTGAGTGTGCACGGAGAGGGGCATTGGCGGTGGGAGCGGGGTAGCGGCGGTTCGGTGTTTGGGGATGGAGAGCAGCAGGGACAACATCCAGGTTTCCATGTTGTGAGGTCCCGAGAAAGCTGAAAAGTGCAGGCCGAAGGGCGAAAGCATTAGTTGCAAACAAACAACAACATGAAATTCTGAAGTACAGCTACTACCGGCACACAACGTGAAGGAACTAGGGGGGAAACTAATGACGGAGATCACGGTAAGGTAAGGATTCGGTGATGTAGGCAGTGAGATGACCAGGTAAACGAGGCGCAGGGGATAACAACGAACGCCGCGAAGGGAAGTGCTTCCAC